TTTGTGAGGATCAAATGGGATATCATTTGTAAAGTGCGTAGCATAGCACATAGTAAATGCTATATAAGTATTATTATATTTATTATGATAGATTCTAAGAATCAGAAGTGAGAAGGGAGTACATTCTAATCATGGAGACAGCCAGAGCAAGGTCAGAGATATCAAAGAGGGAATGGACTCAGTTATCCAAGTGATCCTAAAGCATGGGTCTGACCATGTTACCCCTCCTACTCAAAAAACTCCTGTGGCTCCCTATTACCCCCAGGATCAAATATAAAATCCCCTCTGGCTTTTAAAGCCCTTCATAGCCTATCTCCTCCCTACCTTTCTAGGCTTTCCTCTTGTCCCTCTTCCTCTCCTTCCTCCCTTAATCCTCACTCAGACTCTGGGCATTTTCTATGACTGTCCCCCATGTCTGCAGCTCCCTCCTTCTTTTCTGTCCCCTGACTTCCCTGGCTTCCTTCAAGTATCAGCTAAAACTCCCACCTTCTACAAGAAGCCTTTCCCAATCCCACTTAATGCTAATGCCTTCCCTCTCAATTATCTCGTCTATCCTGTTAAATATCTTGTTTGTAGAGTTGTTTGCATGTTGTTACCCCAATTCAGTTGTGAGCTACTTGAGAGCAGAGACTGGGTTTTTCCCTTTTTTCATATCGCTATTGATTAGCTTAGTACCTGGCACATACTAGGCATTAAATGTTTCTTGACCTATGTGTGAGGAACAGAGAAAGCATTTAAAGCTATTTGCTACCTGTGTCCTGTCTTTCAGGTTTATTACATGGTCCTATGTTCCTTGAGAGCAGGGACTTTTTAATGTCTTTGTATCCTTGTTCCTCAAGATTTTAATTATGTAAATTCAATGCTTTTGGATTGGAGGCACTTTACCATAAATCTCTAAGTGACAGGGTCTGGATTTTAACCCAGGATTTGATTCTAACTTTAGTGTTTTTTTTCTTTTTAAATTTATTTATTTTTAGTTTTCAACATTTACTTCCACAAGATTTTGAGTTCCAAATTTTCACCTCATCTCTCCCCTTCCCCCACCCCAAGATGGCATGCATTCTGAATATCCCTTCCCCTATATGGAAATCTATCTTACCCTGCAGGAAATAAGGGGGGAAGGGGACAAGAGAGCAGGGGGTTGATAGAAGGGAGGGCAGATTGTGGGAGGGGATAATCAAAAGCAAACACTTCTGAGGAGGGACAGGGTCAAAAGAGAGAATAGAATAAATGGGGGGTAGAATAGGATGAAGGGAAATATACTTAGTTTTTCACAACATGACTACTATGGAAGTGTTTTGCTTGACTACACACCTATAACCTGTATGGAGATGCTTACCTTTTCAATGAGGGTGGGTGGGGAGGGAGGAAGGGAGAAAATTTGTAACCCAAAGTTTTACAAATGTATGTTAAAAATAAAAAAAAATTTAAAAAAGGGAAGATAAAAATAATTTTTAAAAAAATATCCCTTCCCCTAGTCTGCCCTCCCTTCTATCTCTCCCCTCCTTCTCTTATCCCCTTCCCTTTCAACTTTCCTGTAGGGCAGGATAGATTTCTGTACCCCATTTCCTGTATTTCTTATTTCCCCGTTGCATGTGAAAACACTTTTTTAAAACGTGTTTTTAAAACTTTGGGTTCCAAATTTTCTCCCTTTCTCCCTCCCCACTCACCCTCACTGAAAAGGCAAGCAATTCAATGGGTAGTTATGCAAAACACTTCCATAGTTAACTTTCGTATTTTTCTACTACACCATGTTCTTCTAATGAGTTCCCCATAACTGGAGATCTTTTGGTGAAGGTTGGATTGCCATTTGTTGAGGATGTGATAGAAGGGTCTCCTTTCCATGTATTGGGTGGATTAAATTTTAGGCGCCTATGAACTAGGTGACTGATGAAGACTACAAGTCCCATCAGCCTCTGGGAGCAGGGTTATATGTGAACAGGTGAGGCAGTTCCCAGAGAGGCAGATCCCAGATGAACTTAGACTGACAGGAGTTTTACCTCTTTTCCCTTTCATGTGCAGGTGAGTGATTTCCAAGCATTAAGATCTCAGTCTTAGAAGGGAATGGAAGAGCTGGGAACTGGAAGGGAGGGCAGCTGACCCCAGAGTTAAGTTTAGGGACTTCTTCGTTGGAGCTGCTAAGCTGGGGCCCCCTTTTGTTTCAGTCTTGAAGCTGAGCTGCCTATCAGACTGACTTAGCTTTCACTAGCCCAGCCTCCAAATGGTAATTTTATTTGCCTGGGGCTCAGGGATTCTTTCTAGGCTACTCCCACCCCTTCCAGCTTTCCCTCCCAGCTGGAGCTGAGTGAAATTCCTTAGGACTTTGGGGTAGGTTTTTCTCTCCTCCATAGGATTCTCCTGTGTGCACTCCCTCCATAACCCAGGCACATGTGGGAGCCCTTTAGGGGCTTTCTGACCTCTGAGAGGTGTTGGCAAAGGACACTCCCTCAAATGTCTGTTACTCTTTGACCCAACCTCCAATGCTGGGGAGGAGGAAGAATAGAAACAAAAGAATTAAAGGAAAGACCTAGTGGAATTTGAGTCTGGCCAGGGTCACAGGAGAGAAGAAAGGAGAGATCTTGTGGAAGGAAGCTTCGAGGTGTAGGGGAGAGATCACTGGACTTGAGGTCAGAATCCTTGGCTCTGCCAGCTTACTTGTTGGGTTATCTTGTTACCACTCTGAGTCTCAGTTTCCTCATCTGTAAAGTGAAGGGTTTACAATAGATTTTAGCTCAAAATAAGCTACTGTATTTCTGGGGAGTGGGAGAAATCTGGAGGAGGGGATGGAAGAAGAAACAGCAACTAGGGCTGCAGAGTCAGGTTAGAGGCAGCTGTGGGCAGCCGAGGGAGGGGGTGAGGTTTGTGGGTTAATGGTTGGGGGTGGGGAGTGTTGTCCAGTTGCTGGGGTGATGCTTGACCTTTCACCGTAGGCAGGCCTGGTGGGGAGGGGGTATGGCACAAGTGTCTAGAGGCTGAGGGGGTATGGCACAAGTGTCTAGAGGCTGGTTTAGAGACCGGAGGGAATTCCCATAAACATCCCCTCCTTTCTCCCACTCCTCTCCTACTCAACTTGGCTGAGGCCCCAGGAATGATGGATTTAGTGAGTAGGCCTGGACTAGCCCCCTTAAGAGGACGAGCTGGGGAGGCAGAGTGCAGCAGGAGTGCCATGAGGGAACAGCTGGGTCTGAGGTGTCTAGCTGCTCATGGTGTTTCCTAGCTCAGTTCCAGGGGCCTGGCTTTCTCCGGTGGCTTAGTGCCAGGTCCCAGGCAAGGTTAAGGGTACTGCTTCTGTCTCCCTGCCCATTCCCCATCCTGAAAAAGAAGAAGATGGAGCCCTGAGTGAGTACGGCCTCTTGGGCTCTCAGAAGTGGAAGAGCTGGGTCAATCCACTGGGAAGTCTGAGCCTGTTGTTGGGTGGGGCTGGAAGGCTACTGAGTGGAGGAAAGAAGCCTCACTCCTTCCAGTCTTTAGTGGGGCTGGGTTAAAGGACTCCCATGGCTTTTGATCAAGTGTTGTCTTGTCTGGGTCCCTGTTCTCCAACGAGCTGAACTCCTTTCTTACTTATTATCTTCCCCATGACTCCCCCCATGAGAGATCAGGCTTTGTAAAAAGGGCAGGAAGGATTCAGAGGAGTATGTCTCAACTCACTTCATGACTCAACTTTCCTCCTGCACCCAGGGAGGGGCTCCAAGATAAAAGTCTTCTGGGCAGGAACCGGAGTTGTGGGTCGACGGCCTATTTGCCTTGCTCTCTCCTGTCCGTTTTCCTCCTCCCCTCGATCTGGGACATGAAAATAAAGCCATTCTCATTCGAATTCTGCCCACTTCAGGGAGGGAGCAGAGCAGACAAAGACAGATTGTTCCGGCTAAGGCCCCATCCCAGCTGCTGTCCTGGGGTGGGGGCAGGGGAGGGCCGCTCTATGAGCCGGTAGAGATCCTCTCATTCTGGACTGAACTGAGTGAGAACACAATGATGTTTGCTGTAGAATCGAGGTGAAGCTGATTAATCTGGAAAAGGGCCTTAACTCTGGTCACTAAGGCTGGAGCCCTTCCTACCCCGAGGCTCAACTTCCCAGAGGCATCCCGGGAAGAACTGGGGAGGGGTCTGGGAAGCCAATGGGGACTCAATTACGTCTGTACTCTCCTTTACCAAGGGGCTTCCATACACTGGTCACCATGTTCTCAGTGCTTGTTCCTACAGGTTTGAAGTAAGGTGGTTATTAGGCCCTAGACAGGTTTCCTGTGAAGGAGGAAGTGCACTGGGTTATGGGCAGGATATTTATCCCAGCATCAGTGATGGTGGGTGCAGCTGTGGGCGTACCTGCCTGCTATTAGCAGGCTGTTCTGAGCAATCTCTGTGCAGTCCTTGGCCTTTCTTACCTCCATAAAACTCTTCTACCAGACCTCTGGATTGTTTGAAACAGGGGCAGGAACTGTAGATAAGGAGGTAACTTGAGGTTACTAAACACTCCACCCTTGACTTCCTGAGGCCAACAACATCCGGGAAACAGATGGGGACCCTGCCTAGAAAAGACTGAGCCTCCCTCCCTACTCCCTTCCTCCCCTCTCTCTCAGTCAGTAGAAAGTCAGTTTCCCTTCCCTCAGTTAGTAGAAAAAAGAATAGTATTATTTTTTCCCTTTTTCTTAAAAATTTTATTATTTATTTTTAGTATTTAAATTTTTTTTTTTGAGTTTGAAATTCTCTCCTTCCCTCTCACCCCTCTGCCACCCACTGAGAAAGCAAGCAATACTATTAGAATAGCATTATTCCTAAGTTAGTTATGTGCTGGACTTTGGGGAAACTCACTCATCATGTGCTCAGCTGGCATAGCCCTGGCATTGTCAGGGGGGAAAGGAGGGGCAGTGTTGCCTAGAGCATTGGTTGGCACAGACTGGGGCCTGGAAAGGGGGAGTGCCTTCACTAGTACTACATAGCGTCCCCAGAGAGCAGGGCAGCTTAGATCTAAATGTCATATGACCAAACTTTCCATTTCTCTCTAGGTGGGAGACAGTTGTGATAACCGCCTGAGCAGCACTGGCGAGCACCTGAAATGGCCCGGTCCCCTTCTTTCATCCTTCCCATTCCTGAAGGCAGGGAAAGCCCTAGGTAAGCTGCCAGCTGGGTTAGGGACAGAACTTTCGCATTGTCAACGTGGCACTGTGGATGTGGCCCTGGAGATCTGGGTTCCAGTCCTGGATCTGATACATACCAGTCGTATACATTTGTGAGCAGATCTTTGAACTCCTCTGTGTTTGTGTACTCATCTGTGAAATGGATCCCATCGGGTTAATGTCCTCCATCCCCACCTCAAAGGTTTCTAGGAAGAAAAATGCTTAAAAACTATGGAGGCTGATGGGGGATGTTCATGTGTGTAGGGAAGGGAATCTTCCCACAGGGACCTCTGACGGATTTTGATAAGACCTATCTGAGAGGGCTTCTGAGATACTGGCTCCACTCTTTTCTTGAGGAGCAGGCAAAGGGGAAAGCTGTCTGGCCCACAGAACCCTAGCCTTTCTATTCCCCAACAGCCAGGACCTCAGCCCATATGATGAGAACGTCGTACATGACTCCTTCCACCAGCTCATCCAGGAGCAGAGTCAGCGGGTTGAAGCTGACTCTCTGGAACTCCAGGAGAGGCCTCCCAGGGACAAAGGTAAGTAGTTTATCCAGAGAGGAGGTGTGGGTTCCTTTCACGAGTAGATGTGTCTGCGATTGGTTCCGACTCTGGATTTAGGCAGCTAGGTGGTAAAGTGGATAGAGCTCTGGACCTGGAATCAGGAAGTCCTGAGTTTAAATCTGGCCTCAGACACTTATTTGGAAGTATGATCCTGGACAAGTCACTCAACCTCTGGTTGTCTTAGTTTCCTCAACTGTAAAATGGGAATAATAACAGCACCCGCCTCACAGGGTTGTTGTACAAATCAAATGAAATGATGTTTATAAAGTACTTAGCATAGAGCCTGGCATATAGCCGGTACTATATATTTGTTCTCATCCACATAATCCAACCCCTTCTCTTTCTCTCTCTCTCTCTCTCTCTCTCTCTCTCTCTCTCTCTCTCTCTCTCTCTCTCTCTCTCTCTCTCTCTTTTGTTTTTTTGGTGAGCAGTTGGGGTTAAGTGACTTGCCCAGGGTCACACTGCTAGTGTGTATCATGTGTCTGAGGTCGCCTTTGAACTCAGGTCCTCCTTACTCCACTGTGCCACCTAGCTGCCCCAACAACCCCTTCATTTTGTAGATGAGAAAATTGAGCACCAGACAGATGAAGTGATTTGCCTAAGGTCATGCAGTTAGTGTCAGGGGCTGAATCTGAACCCAGGTCTTCCCTGACTCTAAATGTAGTACTCAGTCTACTTCTCCTCATTATCTGCCACCGGGGCTTTTAAGTTACTTAGAGGAAGGAGAAGAGCTGTTCGATTCCTATGGGTGTTTATCAGTTTTCTCCAGAAGTCCCTTCTCTTTCTCAAATTCTGGGATTCTTTTCTAGGTAGAGGCTCCCAGTCCCTCAGGGGCCCTCAGGAATACTGCTCAGCCACACTTCAGATCCTGGCCAATATGCCCAGCCGAACCATTGGTGAGTAAGGGCAATCTCTTCCTCAAACCTGTTCCCTGTTTGCCTGCTCCATCCCTGTTCCCTTCCCCCGGCTCTGAGACGTGTTCCTCTCACCCAGTGCTATGGGAGTTGGGGTTTGTATGTGTTCAAAGTTTCTATCTTTCTACGCCTGCCCAGGCGTGTTGATAAAGTGCTTTCTTGGTTTCTAAAAAAGATTCAGTTATGCGAGTAAAAATAGAAGGCTTTTTGGATGCCAATGGTGCCTTGAGTTCTCTTGGGAAAGAGGTTTTCCTCTTGGGTACTTGGGCCTCCTAGTTGCTCTCTCTATTCTTGGGACCCTGGGAAGAGGCCCTAGCCAACCTTTAAAGGATAGAAAAGACAGTCATGGCACTGTGAGCATCCCATGCCCATTTTCCTTTTTTTTTTTTTTTTTGCTTTTTGATTAGGCAATGGGGTTAAGTGACTTGCCCAGGGTCACACAGCTATTTAGTGTTATATGTCTGAGGCCATATTTGAACTCAGGTCCTCCTGAATCCAGGGCTGGTGCTCTATCCACTACACCACCTAGCTGCCCCCTCCCCCATTTTCTTAACCTCAGGGCAACTTCCAGGTCATCAATTCTAGAGAGAGTGAGAAGCCATATAAGGAATTGGGTATGAGGAAGAAGAAAAGAGGAGGAAACAGAAGATGCATGGTTAACCTATCTCACCCCTGAATTTTCCCAAGTTTAAGTACCTTCTCCCTTCATAATTTCAACTCCTTCTCAACCCCACAGGCAGAAGCAGGGGGGCCATTATCTCTCAGTATTACAACCAAACAGTCAGATTGAGGCGGAAAAATAGCCGACCCTTGCTGAGGGAGATGTCACGGTCTGCCCAACCCAGTATTCGGCAATACGACTTGGAGTTGGACTTGACCCCCAGGGAAGAAGAAGGTGAGTGTGGCAGGAGGGATGGCCACCCTATTTGTTATGGCAGTAGCCACCTACTAAGACGATCTTATCACATCTTCATGGGCTCTGCCCCCTAGAAATGCTGTTTCTCCTTCAACAGTCCCTTGGCCCTTCTGGCAGACATTCCCTCAACTCCTCGTTTCTGGATTCTGTTCTTTTTTTTTTTTTTAACAATCTTGTAAATTGTTTTGTTTTAGAAGAGAGTAGGGATGTACCTTTCTCAGGTGTCTTCCCCTTCACCATTTGTTACCCACAGTGGAATTAATCAATCAGTATTAAGTGCCTTCCATATTCTAGGCTCTGAGGTTTTCTTTTTCTTAAGAAAAGTGAAAGCCTATGCCTTCCAGGATATACCATCTATGTAAGCTCCTTGAGGGCAAAGGATTTTTTCTTTCTTAAAAATCAGTCAAGTACTTCTGACTATACTGAGATACAAAGTAAAAGCAAAAATAATCCCCGCTCTTGAGAAACTGTCATTCTAATTTGGAGACCACATGTATACATTGGTTATTGTTTGTTGTTTTTCAGTTCCTCTGGTGGGGTTTTCTTGGTAGAGATACGAGGAGGTTTGCCGTTTCTTTCTCTAGCTCCTTTGACAGATGAGGAAACTGAGGCAAACAGGGTTAAGTCAGAGTCACACAGCTAGTGAGTGTCTGAGGCCAGATTTGAACTCAGGAAGAGGAGTCTTCCTGACCCCAGGCCCAGCACTGTGCTACCTAACTGCCCCATATAAATTGGCACATAATAATAATAGCTAATGCTTATATAGAGTTTACTATGTTCTGGGCACCGTGTTATCTCATTTGATCTTCACAACAATTCTGGGAAGTAGGTACTGTTATTGTCCCAATTTTACAGATGAGGAAACTGAGGCAAATGGGGTTAAGTGACTTGCCCAGGGTTACACAGATAGTAAGTAGGTAGGCCTGGATTTGAACTTAGGTCTTTCTGATTCCAGGCCCAGTGCTCTATGCCCTGTACCACCTAGTTGCCTACATACAGAACGGCTGGAAGGTAACCTTAAAGGGGATAGCTGAGGCAGCTGAGAAAGGCCTCCTAAAGGACGTGGCTCTTGGGCTGAGTATAGAAGGGAGCCAGGCAAGTAAGGAGGTGGATGTGAGGAAGGAGCATGGCGTCAGCCAGGGCAAAGCCACGGATTCCAGATGTCTTGTGTGGGGAGCAGTAATTAGCCCAGTGACGTTGGATTATCAGTGGATAGAGTGTGGGCCTGAAGTCAGGAACACTCATCTTCCTGTGTTCAAATCCGGCTTCAGACACTGGCTAGCTGTGTGACCCTGGGCAAGTCACTTCACCCTGTTTCCCTCTGTTTTCTCATCTCTAAAATGAGTTGGAGAAGGAAATGACAAACCACTCCAGGACCTTTGCCAAGAAAACCCCAACTGGGGACACAAAGAGTCAGAAATAACTAAACAACTGAACAACAGTGTTGGATTATAGAAAGAACGGAGAACAGTGTTGGATTATAGAAAGAGACCAGGAAAATAGGAAGGGGCCAAGATGCAAAGAGCTTTCAGTGCAAAGCAAAGGACTTTATATTTGATTGACTGTAGCTTATTGAGTTGTGGGGGGGAGGGGATGTGACATTGTCAGACCTATAGTTTACAAATATCACTTTAGTGGCTGTAGAGGATAGTTTAGAGTGGAGAGAAATGAGGCAGGGAGAAAAATTAGAAGGCCATTGCAATAGTCCATTGATTAGAATTGTTTCCCTAAATCAATACTTTACTTAGCCCTTTTGGAGGACCTGTACCCCTTTGAAATGTGAATGTAATCCCCTTCACTTCAGACCCTTTTCCTGGCTTCTCAACGTATCTTATTGAAGGACCTGGGCAGTTCACGTTTTACTATTAAATGGCCTAAAAGATTGTCCTCCTGTTGCATTTTAATCTACAAACTTCTGTCTTGCCATGTCAAGCTTCTCTTTAGAAAGAGGATTCTTGGGGCAGCTAGATGGTGCAGTGGATAAAGCTTTGGCCTTGGAGTCAGGAGGACCTGAGTTCAAGTTTGGCCTCAGACACTTGACACTTACTAGCTGTATAACCGTGGGCAAGTTGCTTAACCTCAATTGCTTCACAAAAAAAAAAAAGGGAAAGTAGAAAGAGGATTCTTAGGCTGTATTAGGTGTAGGTTAGGTTCAGCCTAGAAGCTTCCCTCATTTTTGCTCCAGATCAATGTTTAGGAAATAAGGGTCCGTATGCTCCTCTGTCTGGAAAAAGGTAAGAGATGTGACTGACTACTCAAGTTTCCTGAGCTTAGCTCCATTCTCAGTGCCTTACTCCTTAACAGAGAAGCGGAGCTTGCTGGTGAAGGAACTACAGGGCCTGACAATAACCCAAAGGAACCACATGCTGCGGGACATGCCCCTGAGCCTGACTGAGAAACGCTGCCTCCGGTTAGTATGCTCCCCTGGTCCCAACATTGACGCAGGTTCTTCGTTTAACCTCCTTCTTCCCCAGTCACCCAGGAGTAGAGAACTCCCAGGTATCTGAGAGTGATTCACTAAGCAGGGCTGGGGGCTGCCCAACTGGATGGAAATGCTACCGTCTCTACCCCCTCATCACCCTTGAAGTACTGATGGCCTTCTCCTGCTTTTAAGACAGGACAGCTGTATCCATAGAGGAAGACAGAGGTACCACCAGGGCAGCCAGACCCAGCTGTACTGTTGTAGTCACCTCAAGTATCATTGTATCATAGTAAGTACTGATCTATGTGTTGTCTTCTTCCCCTTCCCCCTTCTTTCTAATTTTGTGCCCGCTCCGTGTTACAGTCACCTTGTTCCCCTTGTCTTTGAGGGGGAGCAAAAAGGTGAGGAAGAACCAGTGGAAAAAACAATCAGAATGGCTAATATGACAAAAAAGGGAAAATGATACATGTTGGAGGGGGTGTGGAAAACTGGAACACTAGTGTCCTGTTGGCGGATCCTGTGAAATGATCCAACTGTTCTGGGGAGAAATTTGGAACTGTGCCCAAAGAACTATAAATCTATGTATACCCTTTGATCCAGCAATACCACTTCTAGGTCTATATCCCAAAGACATTGAAAAAAAGACCTATTTGTACAAAAAAATATATAATGGCTCTTTTTTTGTGGTGGGTAAGACTTGGAAATTGAAGGGATGCCCATCAATTGGGGAATGGCTAAACAAGCTGTGGTATGTGATTGTATTGGAACATTATTGTGCTATAAGAAATGATGAGCGGGTGGATTTCAGAAAAACCTGGGAAGACTTACGTGAACTGATGCAAAGTGAAGTGAGCAAAGCCAGGAGAACATTGTACACAGTAGCAGTAGTACTATACAATGGTCAGCTGAATGACTTCACTGTTCTCAGCAATATAATGATCTAAGACAATCCCAAAATACTGATGATGAAGCATACTACCTATTTCCAGAGAAAGAACTAATATTGTTTGCATACAGGCTGAAGCATGCTATTTTTCCAAAGAAAGAAAGAAAGAAAAAGAAAAATCAATCAGAAGACCCAGGTTTGAATATTAGGCATATATAATCTAAGAGAAATTACTTAAGTTCTCTGATCCTTAGTTTTCTCATCTGTGAAATGGAAATAGAATACTTATCAGTCTCACTTGCTTGTTGTGGGGAAGGCTGCATTATAAACCTTAAAGGACTATATATTTGTGAGCTACTATTAATATTGAACTCCTCACCAATTGATAAGAGGTGTTTGTTGCATGAAATTGAAATGATTCTTGGGATCTAAGTGCTAACGATTCTTTTAAATTTATTTTTGTTTTTTTAGCCACATCTGTCAATTAGCCAACAAAGCACTTAAGTGTTTACTGTGAATCAGCGGCTATGCTAAGTGCTAGGGTTACAAAGAAAGGCAAAAACACAGCTCCTGCCCTCCGAGATGTCATATTCCAAAGAGAGTAACAACATGCAAATAACTAGGTCCATACAAGATGTATACAGAGTAGATAATGATAATCTGAAAGAGAAAGTCATTAGCAACTTGAGGGAACAGGAAAGGTCTCCTGTAGAAGATGGGATTTAAACTGAGTCTTTCAGGAAGCCAGGGAAACAAGATGGGGAGGAAAGGAGGAAGTACATTCTAGGCAGGGGGAAACAGTCAGTTCAAAAGTACAGAGCTGGATTGGAGATGGGAGTGTAGTGTGGGAGGAAGTACAAGTAGGTCAGTAGGCCATGGTAGCTGGATTGTAGAGTACTCGGAAGGCAGTCATGCAAGAAGTCTGGAAAGGGCCAGAATGTAAAGAGTGTTTTTTCCTAACATTAGTTGTTTTTTATTAATATTTTGAGTTCCAAATTCTCTCCCTCTCTACTTCCCCTCTTTGAGAAAGCAACCAATTTGATATAGATTATACACGTGCAGTCATGCAAAACATTTCCATATTAGCCATGTTGCAAAAGAAAACACAGACTAAAAAAAAAATAATAAAGTTTGAAAAAAAGTATGTTTCAATTGGTATTAAGATGCCATCAGTTCTTTTTCGGGAAGTAGATAGCATTTTTTAAAAAATTATTTAACATTTTACTTTTTCTCCAATTACATGTAAAACAATTTTTAACATTTGTTTTTTAAAATTTTGAATTTAAATTTTAAAATCTTGAAAAAAATAAAATTTAATCTCTTTTTCCCTTCCTCTCTCACTGAGAAGGCAAGCAATTTGATATAGGTTATACATGTAGTCATAGAAAACATTTCCATATTAGTCATGTTATGAAAGAAAACACAGGGCCTTTCCCCCCAAGAAAAAAACCCCTAAGAAAAATAAAGTAAAAAAAAAAAGTATGCTTTTCTCTGCTTTCAGAGTCCAGCAGTCCTTTCTCTGAGGATAGATAGCATTTTTCATCATAAGTCTTTCAAGAATTGTCTTGGATCATTGTATTTATAAGAATAGCTATCATTTACAGTGGACCATTGTATAATATTGCTGTTACTGTGTACAGTGTTCTCCTGGTTCTGCTCAATTCACTTTGCATCAGTTCGTGTAAGTCTTCCCAGGTTTTTCTGAAAGCATCCTACTCATCATTTCTTATAGCAAAATAATATCCCATCACAATCATGTACCACAACTTGTTCAGCCATTCCCCAGTTGATGGACATTCCCTCAATTTCCAGTTCTTTACCACCAGAAAAAATTGTTTTGTACATCTCTCTTTTTTTTTTTTTAAACTCTTTGGGATACAGACCTAGTAGGCGTATTACTGGGTCAAAGAATATACATAGTTTTACAGCCTTTGGGCATAGTTCCAAATTGCTCTCCCGAATGGTTGGGTCAGTTCACAGCTCCACCAACAGTGCATTAGTGTTTCCATTTTTTGACAACCCCTCCAACATTTGTCATTTTCTTTTCTATCATATTAGCTAATCTGTATAGGTGGTACCTCAGAGTTGTTTCAATTTTCATTTCCCTGCTCAATAGTGATTTAGAGCATTTTTTTTTGGTATGACTGTAGACAGCTTTGATTTCTTCTTCTGAAAACTGCCTGTTCATGTCCTTTGACTATCAGTTGAGGAATTACCCATATTTTTATAAATTTGACTCAATTCTGTATACATTTGAGATATGAAGCCTTTATCAGAGAAACTTGCTGAAAAATTTTCCTCCTAGTTTCCTGCTTTCCTTCTAATCTTGGCTGTATTGGTTTTGTTTGAGCAAAACCCTTTTAATTTAATGTAATCAAAATTATCCATTTTACATACTATAATGCTCTGTATCTCATTTGGTTATAAATTCTTCCCTACCCATAGATCTGACAGGTAAAATATTCCATGTTCCCCTAATTTGCTTAGAGTATTGCCCTTTATGTCTAACTCATGTATCCATTTTGATCTTTTCTTGGTATACAGTGTGAGATGTTGGTCTCTACCTAGCTGCTGCCAAACTGTTTTCCAGTTTTCTCAGCAATTTTTGTTGAATAATGAGTTCTTGTCCCAAAATATATCTTTGTGATATATTGCTGTAATCTCCCTGTTGGGATTTTGTTTAAATTTTTTGCATCAATATTCATTAGGGAATTGGTCTGTAGTTTTCTGTTTCTGTTTTTGCTCTTCCAGGTTTAGGTATCAGCACCATGTTTGTGTTGTAGGAGGAATTTAGAAGGACTCCTTCTTTGCCTATTTTTCCCAAATAGTTTATATAGCATAGTAATTATTTTTTTTTTTTTTTAGTGTTTGATAGAATTCTCTTGTGAATCCATGTGGTCCTGGAGATATTTTCTTAGGGATCTCATTGATGGCTTGTTCCATTCCTTTTTGTAAGATAGAGTTCTTTATTCTATTTCCTCCTCTGTTAATCTGGGCAATTTATATTTTTGTAAACTTAGATTGTTAGATTTATTGGCCTATATTTGGGCAAAATAACTCCAAATAATTGCTTTAGTTTCATCTTCATTGGTGGCGAATTCACCCTTTTTATTTTTGATGCGGGTAATTTGGTTTTCCTTCTTTTTAAAAATCAAATTAACCAATAACTAATCTATATATTTTTTCTTCATAAAACCATCTCCTGGTTTTATTTATTAGTTCAATGGGTTTCTTACTACCAATTTTACTAATGTTTTCTTTGATGTTCACATTTTTCTGTTTGCTGTTTATTTGTTTTGTTTGTGTTCTTGTTTTTAGGCAATTGGGGTTAAGTGACTTGCCTAGGGTCACACAGCTATTAAGTGTCAAGTGTTTGGTCTGAGTCCGGATTTGAACTCAGGTGCTCCTGACTTCAGGGCCGGTGCTCTATCCACTGTGCCACCTAGCTGCCCCCTTGTTTGCTGTTTAGTTGGGGATTTTAAATTTGTTTTTCTTTGTAGATTTTTCTTTTAGTTGCATGCTCAATTCATTGATCCTCTATTTTATTGATGTAAGCATCTAGAAATATAAATTTTCATCTAAATACTGCTTTGGCTGTATCCAATAAATTTTAGTATGTTGTCTCATTGTTGTCATTCTCTTCAATGACGTTATCATTTTTTGTGATTTGTTCTTTGATCTACTCATTCTTTAGGATTAAATTATTTAGTTTCCAATTAATTTCCATAGCCCTTTATTGAATGTAAGAAGGGATATGGTCACTGCTCTTCTGGCCTGTGCTCTGGTCTGTGAGCAATCACAAATATTCTTTTTCTTCCCTGGAACTGTGACCAGGGTCCCTACTCCTGCTAGGGCTCCTTGGCCTGGGACTGTCACCCAGAACCGAGTGTGGGCTGTATGAGTCCTGCACCCAGTGTCAGCAGAGGGACCCCTGTAATCTCTTTCTGATGAGTTGTCTGATCCCCTTACCATCTGTGGGCTGAGAGCTCTGGAAGCCCCTCTGCTAATACACATGGCCCCAAGGCCTGCTCCTGCCTTGCCAGGAGCTGCTGACCTTTTCATTTGTCTTGGGCTGGAAAGTTGTTGCATCCTGACCTCATGTCGGTTCTTCCACTCTAGAATTTGTTTTGAGGCATCATTTTAAAATTGTTTGGAGGGGAATTTGGGAGAGCTCAGGTGAATCTCTGCCTTTTGCCATCTTGGCCCTGCCTCCCATGCTAGCAATTCTAAATAGAAAAATGCAGCCTTTCATTGGTATTATAACAGACCTTTTGGTAACTGCTCCTTTACTCCACCCAGGCTAAACTCTTCTAGGTGGCTTTCTATGACAAAAATAGTCCCATGACTTCCTTTACCTTGTATCACCTCCTCTCTTACTCTGAGAGAGTCTGGGACAGTTGGTACATTTTTAAAGGCTCTTTAGAAAGGGAGAACAGTGATGAATCTCTGTTTTAAGTGAGACAACTGAAGCCCAGAGTAGTTAAGAGATTAACAGCTGATCAGTGGTGGGGCTGTGCCTGGAACTCTGGTCTTCTGATTCTCAACGTCTGAGCTTTTCCCTAAGATATTTCTGCCTACAATAATATTTTTTTTTCTTCCACTTTTGGTGAAGCAGTTGGGGTTAAGTGACTTGTCCAGGGTCACGCAGCTAGTAAGTGTCAAGTGTTTTGAGTCCGGATTTGAACTCAGGTCCTTCTGACTCCAAGGCCAGAGCTCTATCCACTGTGCCACCTAGCTGCCCCTATAATACTGCTTTAATGGACTTTCCCTAATCTGTTTTCCTAGTGTGGATCTAGAGGTGTGATTCTAGTGCCCTACATAGTGGCACACTGGAGTCAGGTTCGAATCCATCCTCGGACACTTACTAGCTGAGTGACCTTAGGCAAGTCACTTAACCTCTGTCTGCCTCAGTTTCCTGTTGTATAAAATGAGAACAATAATAACATCTGTCTCCCAGGGTTGTCGTGAAGATTAAGTAAGATCACATTTTTAAAGCACTTTGCCAACCTTGAAGTCCTAATCGCTAAATTATAATAATAGTTATTACTTTTATTGTTATTGACACTGTTCTTGTTCCCACAGGCTTTCCGCAGCCTGTGGTATGGAATTCTCTCTGGTCTGCATGCCCTGAAGCCCTGGCGTTGCCACCTGAAGCAAATTAGCGGCCAGTTTGGCTCTAGCGTCCTCTCCTACTTCCTCTTCCTCAAGACCTTGGTCTCCTTCAACGTCCTGCTCCTCTCCCCTGCTGCTGCCCTTCATTGTGGCCGTGCAGGTGGCCTTTCCCCCAACTTCAGAGTTCCCTGTCTCCTCATTCACAAGGCCTGGAACTCTTCACTGGGGCAGTGAGTACGGGGAATCTGGTTGGTTAGTACTAAGCCTTTTGTTGAACATAGGACCTTTTCCTCAGCCCTCTGAAGAGGGATTGTCTTTCTGATGCTCTTCCCCTCTCTCTTCTTTGTCTATGGATGCTTCTTCAATTTCTTTGCCTAAGCCTTCCCTTTTTTTTTTTTTTGGGCATTTGGGGTTAAGTGACTTGCCCAGGGTCACACAGCTAGTAAGTGTCAAGTATTTGGTCTGAGGCTGGATTTGAACTCAGGTCCTCATGACTTTAGGGCCTATCCACTTCATCACCTAGCTGCCCCATACATAACCCTTCCCTAACCAGGGCTTTGTGGGGTCTGCTGTGATGGTGACTTGAGGATACAGCTGGTACAAAAAGCATATCCTTACTTTGCCAGTTGATACTAAAAATGACTAGAAACTCATGCACCTGTGGGGAAAAAAAGCCTCTCCTTTCCCCATGTATGTACGGGATCATCTTTTCCCCTTCTGTGGCTACCACTCAAGTAATTTTTATTCTCACTTCACCCCCTTAAAAATATTGGGATTAGGGGACTGGACTTGGACTGTATGTGTTTAAGGAAGTAGTACATATACAAAAAGATATGAGGATTTTGATAGGCTGAAAGCTCAGCATTAATATACTTAGTCTTACCTATTAGTCAACCATGTGATGTGATAGCTGTAGAGTATGATGTGAGGTAAGAGATGCAGAGCATCCAGGGCAAAGAGGCAGTAAATAGTCCAATGGTCAGACTGTATGGGAATATATTAACAAGTTAGATGGCATCCACAGGAGAGTCAACTAGGATGGGAAGAGGACTTAGAACCATGCTATATGAGGATTTTTTGTAAAAAACGGCTTGGAGGAGAGGAGACTTAAGGAGAGTAATGGTTCCTTTTTTTTTTTAAATTTAATTTTTTTTGGTGAGGCCGATGGGATTAAGTGACTTGCCTAGGGTCATACAGCTAGGAAGTATCAAGTGTCCGAGGCTGGATTTGAACTCAGGTCCTACCGACTCCAGGGCCAGTGCTCCATCCACTGTGCCACCTAGCTGCCCCAAGAGTAATGATTCTTATCCTTGGAATATTTGAATTGGATCAAGGATCAACTTTCTTTCTTTGTAGTTCCATAAGGTAGGACTAGGAGAAGTAGGTGGGACTGACAGGTAAATTCCAGCTCATAACAAGGAACTTCCTAACAATCCAACTCTCTAAAAGAAGGATGGACTCCGTAGGGAGGTTGTCCAAGATGTTAACGAAGGAATTTCTCTTTTGGACAGGGCTGAGCTACTTGACCCCTGAGCTACCTTCCCCCTGTGAAATCATAGGATTCTGTTTCCTCTTGTTTGTATTCTTCTGGTGGCTCTACCTTTGGCCTAACTCTACGGGTCTTCCCTTTTTTATTTTTTCATTTCCCTCTCGGCTCTGTATTCCTGCCACTACTGCCTTCTCTTTCTCCTGCTTCCCTACTCAGTTTGGTTGCAGGTGGGATGGGTGGAATTGGGCTGCGCAGGGTCCATTGACTTTCCTCCTGAGCTATCTTACCCTTGTCTTTGCAGGGCCGATTCACTCACACAGTGATGTACTATGGCTACTACAGTAACTTCACCTTGAACCAGCCATGCTCCTCCCATCAGAACAGTGACCACTGCCCTCCAAGGGCAGTCCATCTGCCGTATAACATGCCTCTGGCTTACCTCTTTACCATTGGTATTTCCTTCTTTATCACCTGCATCACCCTGGTGTACAGGTAAGGAGAGACCCTTCCTGCTCCTGCATGGAACCACTCCCCCGCCACCTCAGTATCTTGTCCTATCTACCTTCCTTCACTTTCATACTATTTACTCCGAAATTGTCTTCTCTTCTGCTCCACCTTGCCCACCCCTTTTCCTCCTTTTGACAGAATTACAGAATGTGAGCAGTGGAAGGGACCTCAGAGGTCATCTAGTCCAAGCTTCATCTGAGAGAACCTCCTCTACAAACACACCAGAACAATGTTCTTTAGACTTGGCAGCTACATGGCACAGTGGATAGAGTGCTAGGCCTAGAGTCGAGAAGACCTGAGTTCAAATCCGGCCTCAGACACTTACTAGCTGTGTGACCCTGGGCAAGTCACTTAACCTCTGTTTGCCTTAGTTTCTTCATCTGTAAAATGAGCTGGAGAAGGAAATGGCAAACCATTCCAGTGTCTCTGCCCAAGAAAATCCCAAATGGGGTCATGAAGAGTCGGACACAAGTGAAAATGACTGAACAATAAACAAATTTTACTTGAAGATCTCTTGAGATGGGAGAACCCACAGCCTGTTTAACTTTTGGACAGTTTTTTTTTAAGCAATTGGAGTTAAGTGACTTGACCTGGGTCACCGAGCTAGTAAATATCTGAGGCTGGATTTGAACTTGGGTCCTCCTGGCTCAGGGCCCATATGCTCTATCTACTGCACCACCTAGTTGCCCAGTTCTAATTTGTTAGGAAATCTTTCTTTATATCAATCATATGCCTTCCTTAGCATATCTACCTGCTCCTCATAGTTCTACCTTCTGCAGCCAAGGAGAAGCATCTGATCCTCTTTCCACAAGTAACCAGCTCTTTATAGAGGTGAAGGCAGATCAGAATTTCCCCCCTCAGTCCCTCACTTTTGATTCTTTTTCCTCCCTTTCCCACCTTCCTCTCTCTTAATCCTCGCACTCTGCCTATGGATCTCCTTTTCTCCCTAGCATGTCTCGTTCCTTTGGAAAGAGCTACCAGGTGGGCAGTACCCTTGGAGTCCATGCCATCACTGTCTTCTGCTCCTGGGACTACAGGGTGACCCAGAGATGGGCTTCCCTACAACATGACAACATTAGGACACAGTTAAAGGTGAATGGGGCCCAGGGATTGCTGGGGTTGGTCATTTCTCTTATTACATAATACCCTCCCCCCCCCCCCCCCCCCCACCCCTCCACACATATCGTCCCACCCTGTGACTCACTAATCCAAGTAACTTTCAATCTCTGCCTGAGATCTGATACTGAAAACTAGACAGGAAGTAATAGGCTGGAACCAAAAAAAAAAAAGAAGGGTTTACTTTAGATAACAGGCTTAAGTTACATATCTGGGCAGATTGTCCAATGTGTGGAGCCTAGATGCGTTTGTGCTGGTTTTCCCAGGGTGTGAGTAGCTCCAATGTAGGCCCCTGGGGTGTTAAGTAGGGGTGACTCCATCCATCCTGAGGGTTCATGTGCTGTGGAATTTTAAATCCAGCTCTGTCATTGTGTCACCTCCAACAAGTTCCTTTTGTGTACTGAGCACTGTGGAAAGGATGCAAAAGAAGGAAAACACAATCTTGGCCTTCTGGGACTTTCCAAGATGGTTAGGGAGATGGCATGCCCACAAAATAGCCCTAAGAGCCCAAGGATAAACACAGAGTGATGGAGTACAGATTAGCCCTCCTGGAATGGCTTTCTAAAGTTGGGGTGGGAGTATGCCTGAGGAGATGCTCCTCCCTCCCTTCTTTGCAGACATGACTTACCACTAGTCTAGACTGATGTATTGGTTAGTTTTGTCCACTTGCCTTTTCTCTCTCTCTCTCTCTCTCTCTCTCTCTCTCTCTCTTTTTTTTGTTACAAGTAATGATTTGCTGGTCTGAGAAGGAGAGTAATATACTCAGAAATAAAGGTATCAAAAACAAAAGACTAATCAAATCACTACTTTTTTTTTAATTGAAAGGCAAACTGATCTGTTATAAATATTTTTGTTTAAATGAGACATGAAATCTTTCCCTCTGCCTTTGACTGACTTGGGGTAGATCCCTGAGGAGAAAGATCACTAGGTCAAAGGAGATACACAGTTTAGTGACTTTTTGGGTATGGATTCCAAATTATTTTCAAGAATGATTGGTTACCAATTCACAACTCCATCTATGATGCATTTGTGTGTCCTTTTCCTCATGGCACCTCTGTCATGTACTGTTTTCATCTTTCATTATCTTTATCAACCTGATTGGTATGAAGTGAAATCTCAGAGTTGTTTTAATGTGAACATTTCTCTTATTATTACTAATTGGCAACATTCTCTCAAATGGTTGTCAGTAGCTTGCATTCATTTTTCAAAAATTACCTATTCATCTCTGTTGGGAAAGATGCAGGGACTTTTTAACACTAGTTGAGGAAGGATAAGAGGAAGGAAGGCATTCCAAGGGGTAAGCATGTAATTAAGTAATCAGCCCTGGTTTGGGGAAGGTGAGCATATTCAGTTAATTGGAGAAGAGAAGCCTTGTTGAGGAATCATAGGATCACAGAGCTAGAGTGGATGGGACCCCAGAATTCCCTGTCATCCAACCCCTCATTTTATAGATGAGGGAACCATGGCCCAGGTGATTACATGACTTGTCTAAGGTCACTCAGTAAGCATCAGACAGTCAGGATCTGAACCCAGGTTCTCTGACTTCCTTTTGATGCTTCCCTCTTTCCCACCCCCATTCCACCCCCATACCATTTGCTTCCTGAGAGAGAGAAGGTGTGGCGAGTTGAGGGTCGGAGGTGAAGTGATGGTGGACGGACTTTAAAAAGCTACTGAGTTGTTTTAAAAATGACAGAATGCTGGGAGTCACTGCAGATTCTTGAGCACAAAAGTGACGAGGAAAAGATCTGGGTTCAAGTGGAAGTTCTGATGCTGAATTACTGTGTGACCTTGGACAAATTACTTAACCTCTCTGAGATTTGTTTTTCTCTTCCATAAAATGGGATAATAATTGTAATATCTGTATCACAAGGTGATTGCCAGGAAAATGCTTTCTGAGAGCTGTTGAGGAAAATTAGTTTGGGCCTTGGAGTCAAAGAGACAAACTAGGAGGTTTGTCTAGCAACCTTCCAGGAGTGAGAGATATGGAGCCACGGCTCGGTAACCAGGGCTAAAGCAGTGGCTATGGGAAGATCAGTCCTTAAGGGATGCTACCAACCAGCCATGACCCTAGAATGATTGTAGCTTCTTATGTTCTGTCCCTTCCCACGTATACCTTCTCTCCTCGTTCTTCCACAGAGATGTTGATTTTCTGGGTCCTTGCTGTGGTGTGGGAGGGCCCTGGGCTCTGACTGACCTGTGGTCCTCCTGGCAGGAGCTGTTGGCTGAGTGGCAGCTGAAGCAACACCCGAGGAGTGTGTGTGGAAGGCTGAGACAGATGACAGTGCTGCTTCTGGTGTGGCTACTGTCCCTGGGCTCTGCCCTGGGTTGTGCCATCGCTGTCTACTCATTCTCAGAGTTTATGCATGAAGTGAGCCCTCCAACTCTGCGTTGCTTTGACCCTAGGAAGGGGAAGAGGGTGGGGAGTTAGGGCTGGAGCTACCTGGAAAAAACTGCTTGAGAGGGGCTCCATCTCAAGGATTTCCTCCTTCTCTTCGTGGTCCCTTCCATTTCATATCTTAGACTGTCCTTTCCTCTGCCCTGGGAGCTGAACCTTGAACTTTGGGCCAAGTATCAGCACCTGAATGTCACTCAAGGCATCATTAGCACCCTTCCACTCCTCCCTCTGTGTACCTCATCCCTTTATTTTCCCTCTGTTTCTCTTCTATTCTTTATTTTGGTCTTCTCTGAGATAATTTGTCAAGGGCTTTGCAAACCTCAAAGCACTAGATAACCTTTAGTTATTATTTCCTCTTTCTCTTTCTCTCTCTTATTATTTCTCTCAGTGGGATTTTGGGTTAGCCCATAGCTTGCAGATGTTTTTTGAAGGGAGGACAGGACCTTGAGTGCCCATCTCAACCTGTGATCCATCCCCAACCCTGCAGACTTTTCACCTCAATGTACGCTCCTCTCCAAGGTTCTGTCTAGTGATTTACTTTGCTAGAAAAATACCTAATCTGCTCCAGAGTTAGTCCGATCTTACCTCCTCTATGTGATCAAGCTTGTTTCCTTATCATTTCATCCACAGAACCGTGAGATTAGGACCCAGAGTGAGAAGCTCCAGGAAGCCAGTCTCCTGGCTCTGCCCCTCATAGTATGTATCATCAACCTGGTGGTTCCCTATCTCTACAATGTCCTAGCCAGTTGGGAGCAGCACGATTCTCCTGTTTTGGAGGTGTATGTGGCCATTTGCAGGTAGGGCTGTTCTGTTCTTCCATTACCACCCTTTGAGGATCTGACTGATTTGCCTGCCTATCTACTTCCCCACCTACAGCATCCTTCACTCATGTCCCCCTTTTTCTCAGGAACCTGATTCTCAAGATGGTTATTCTAGGACTTCTCTGTTACCACTGGATGGGCCGTAAGGTTAGATCACTGGAAGACCAGGTAAATGTGCCAAGAAAGACATTTCTTTTTCTTTTCTTTTAATACTTTTTTCATTATTAAATTTTACTTTTAATTTATGAAATAAAACAGGCATTTCTATAATAGTACAATAAAAATGATGATTATGCACGAAGCTGCAAATCTACTGTGCACAACTTGCTATTCTTTTCAAATATACAACAAAATTATCATGTAAATTTATTTTTTTTCCTCCCCCCCCCAGCTACCATTAGAGACAGACAGACACACACACACACATTCTATACATCCATTTATCAGTTCTTTCTCTGGATGCAGATAGCATCTTCATATGTCCTTTATAGTTAATTGGGTATTTATAATAATCAAAATAATTTATTCATTCAAAGTCATTCTTAAAACAATATTGCTGTTAGTGTATATAGTGTTCTCTTGGTTCTTCTCATTTTACTCATCATTATTTTGCTCAAGTCTTTCCATGCTTTTCTAAAATCATTGCACTCATCACTTCTTATGTTTTTATTAACAAAGACATTTCTGGGAGCCCAGAGGGCACACTGTCTGCATGCTGTACCTGATACATAGGCACTGCATGTTTGCAGAGTTGAATTGAATATGGTGGGCATCATAAAGGATATTGATTGAGGCCCATTTGTTTTTAGAACATTTCTCACAACTTCCCCTTCTCCCCCAGACATGGGGACAAACAAAGTACCCCTAGCCCTAAGGTGACTTTTATTGCTTCTTGAAGGCAGTTGGAAAGTCTGACAGTCTGGCTTTGAGTTATGGCCCCAATTGTGACTTTGGACAAGTAATTTCACTTCTCTGAGCTTGTTTCCTTGTCTATAAAGAATGGAGTAAGAGAATATTAGTCTCTTAGGGCTGAAAGAAAGTTCAGAGGCCCACTGGCTGACTAATATTCTTTGCAGGAGTATCACTCTTTCTTACAGTAGTGGTGAGAATTAAATAAAATAAAATAATCTGTAAGGAAGTGCTTTGTAAACACAAAGCCTACAAGTGTGTACAGCCGTTAGAGAATTCTTTTTATCATTATCAGTGCTGGGAGACGTTTGTGGGTCAGGAGCTCTACCGCTTCATGGTGATGGACTTTATCTTCACACTGGTGGACACCCTCTTTGGGGAGCTGGTCTGGAGGTAAGAGAGGCAGCGGAAGGATAGTATTTAATCTGGAATGGACTTGGAGGGATTATTTGGTCTCTCCTCGTCCCTTCCCATTTCTTGCCCTTAGGTTTCTCTCTTCCACCTCTGCCTTCTCCAACATAGACAGTGATTTTGGAAAGCTCTTATGTAACACAAACCAGCATGATATGGAAGATAAGAGTGCTGGATTTGGAGTCCAGCATATCCGGATTCTAAGTCTTGGCTCTGACACTCAATTATGTGACCCTTGGCCAGTCCCTTAACCTTTCACAGACTCGGTTTCGTCAACTGTAAAATGGAGATAATAGTAGCACTCACCTCATAAGGTTGTTGAAAGGGTCAAAGGAGATAATACCAAAAAAAAGTTTTGTGAACTTTAAAGTGCTATATAAGTGTTATTATTAGTATTAGTATAAATAAAGGGAAAAACAAAAATTAAAAAAAAAGACTTTAAGCTCTACACTCCTCTCGTTGGGGAGTCTGTTGACTTACACTGTAACCTCTGGTGAGATACTTAGCCTCTCTTTGTCCCCTTTATTCCCATGTGAGAATGACTCATTTCCACATTCATTCGGTATAACAAATGCTGGCATTCTTTTAGCCTCTAAGTGATGTGGTGAAAGATCATGGGTTTGTACCATTCCCAGTTCAGTGATCTTACATGAACCCTTTGCTGCCTGCAGATTATAGAATCATATTGCCACAGGGAGCTTTTTGAGATTAAGTCAAACTCCCTCATTTTACATGGGAGAGAACTGAGATCCAAAAAGGGAAACTGACTTCCCTTTTGGTCACACGGCTAATCAGTGGCAAAGCTAGGACTAACCCCTAGTCAATATCATAATATCTGACATTCTTATCTCTTTGAATAATGATAATAATAGCTAGCATTATGACACTGGGCAAGTCACTTAAGCTCTGTCTCCCTCAATTTTCCATCCATAAAATGTAAAATAGCACTCAGGGTTGTCGTGAGGATAAAATGAGATTGTTATCTGCAAGGCAGTTTTCGAACTTTAAAATGCCATTATATATTGTATTATTATTATTATATGATTATATAGTACTTATTATATGATGCTTGTCTAGCTATATAAGTACTAGCTACAGCAATTATTATTATCATTATGTAGCACTTTAAAATTTGAAAAGCACATTTCAGACACAATCTCATTTGGTCCTCCCAACAACCCTGGGAGGTGGGTGCTGTTATCATTCCCATTTTATAGATGAGGTAACTGAGGCAGACAGCTGACTCTGGTCCAGCAGTCTAACCACTGTGTCCTGGAAGTCTTTTCCATATGTTGGTTAAATTAAGTTGCACAGACCTCTCAGTCATTTGGGTTTTTGGACCCACCTACTGAGAGAAGTGAGGATCATCTACATTTGTTGCCACTCCCAAGGTCTGGCTTATAGCTCTTCTGAGTTGGGTCACTGATGATCAGACAGCCGCCTGCTTATCTGAGCTTTACAGTGACTGCTTCTGCCCTGTAGGCTCATTACAGAGAGGCTGAAGCGCGATCGGAAGCCAGAGTTCGATGTTGCTCGAAATGTGCTGGAGCTGATTTACGGGCAGACCCTGACCTGGTGAGTTCCCCCATCCAGACTTGCTCCACGGTGGTCTATCAGCAGCTGCCCCCCTCCCCCCCGAGCCTGTGTGAATAGCATCTTGGCCCTGAGGTGGAAGAGACAATTCTTGTGCAGAGGCATGTTGGGACGTCCCACAGGTAGGGCTCATCAGTACAAGGACAGGAATTGTTTGGGTTCCCATATCCCCCCTTTATTCCTATGAGCCAAGGGGGAGACTTTGAAACTCCTTGCCCAGTCGCCTCAGAAGCCAAGAGAGGCTTTTATTTCATTTCCATTGTTACCCCATGAGGCGGGCAGAGATCCGCTGCTGAGTGCAATGAGGTTGCCTTGGCGTTATTTTTAGGAGTCTGGCCCAGGCCTGGATTCTTTATTTCCCCCATGATGACCTGGATGGCTGGAAGGAGGGGATTTGTGGCCATTCCCAATAACCAACAGAAGATCTAGCCTACAGCAAAGTCCACCGTATGCCCTTGAGTGCACTGAATGACTTCTCTTAGAGTTTCTCATATGAAAGGCCTCCCTTGACCCATGGGACTCCTGCTCCATGACCTCTTTAGACATAGGGCCTTCAGCTTTCTGGCTCAAAGCACAGGGAGTTGGGGGGGGGGGCAGGCGGGGCCTGCAAGCAGATACTTGTAGTTCTAGGATTGGAGGGATCTTTCTCTTCTTTTCTCCCTGTAGGCTGGGTGTTCTCTTCTCCCCACTTCTCCCTGCCATCCAGCTTCTCAAGCTCCTGTTCCTGTTCTATATCAAGAAGGTAATGAGGCTTGTGCTGTGTAGTCAGTCACAAACATTTATTTTTTATTTATTTTTAGACAATCGGGGTTAAGCGACTTACCCAGGGTCACACAGTTAGTAAGTGTCAAGTGTTTGGTCTGAGGCCGGATTTGAACTCAGGTCCTCCTGACTTCAGGGCCAGTACTCTATCCAATGTACCTAGCTGCCCCCACCAACATTTATTAAGCACCTACTGTGTGCCAGGCACTGGGGATAGAAGCAAAAGATGGTTCCTACCCTCAAGGAGTTTACAATCAACCGTTTACCCTGGAGGAAGGAATTGTAGCCTCAGGCGTTACCTTCTGGCTGAGACTGTGGGCTGTTCTGTATCTATAGAGCAAGCAAGGCCCACTTGTAAAATGGATTCAACACCTACTTTTCAGGGTTACTGTGAGGAAAAGAGGTCAGATACAGGGGGAAGGGAACCTGTGGCCTTTTAAATCCTTAAATGCATCCTTTTGGTTGAATCCAAATTTTACAGAACAACCTTGGATTCAGTCAAAAAGTCACACTTAAGGATTTAGAAGGCCATATGTGGCCATAAGGCTGCAGGTTCTCCACCTCTGTAAACCTCAAATATAGAAGTGTGTGTGTGTGTGTGTGTGTGTGTGTGTGTGTGTGTTGCTATTTCAGGGTGTTTTATTCACAATTGACTCTGACCCTTTTCAAAGACTTCAGTTTCCCTTTGTGTTCTACCTCTAAATTGTTCCTAGGGAGCCATAGCCTTTCTATTTGGAAATTTGCTGGACCATAGGACTACCTACCCCCACCTTCTGCTTCTCTTATGTACATGCCTTTCCCTAAACAGACTTTTTTCTTTATCCTCTATTTTCCCTAACCCTCCCATCTCTGGAAAAAAAAAAACTGAAAACCTAAAGTCCTTTGGACTCCACTGATGTGCCTGTATACTTTCCTCTCTCCTTCCCTAGATTTCTAGGCCTGAAGGATGGAGAGAGAGAGAGAGAGAGAGAGAGAGAGAGAGAGAGAGAGAGAGAGAGAGAGAGAGAGAGAGAGAGAGAGAGGAACCATGGAAAGCAATCTCTTATGTCTTTTCTAGATCAGCCTGATGGCAAACTGCCAGGCGCCTAGGAAACCCTGGAGAGCTTCGCACATGACCACTATTTTCATCACTCTCCTCTGCTTTCCCTCCTTCTTAGGGGCAGCCATATTCCTCTCCTATGCTATCTGGCAGTAAGTCGACATTTGTGGGAAGATCAGCTTTGGGATTTATTGATTTGGTTTGTCTTGCTGCCAAGTTGTCTCAGGATATAGGGATAGAACTGGGTGGTGAGACTGGAGTGAAAGTAAGGAAGACCTTTCAGTTGAGTGTCTATGAAGGGCCTTACAGGGAAGTTTGTATTCAGTCAAAGGACTGCACTTGAGGACCTAGAGGGCCCCATGTGGCCTTGAGACCTCGGGTTCCCCAATCCTGGGCCAACCCTTCCAAGCTGAAAGTGATGGAGACTAGAGCTAGGAGCTAGAAGGGAGGGAGGCACCTGGCCTTCAGATTATTTTAGGGTCTGAGGGTAAGTCTCTAAGGCGCACATTACTTATGTAATCTTTCTTCCTCAGAGTGAGGCCCTCCAGGACTTGTGGCCCCTTCCGGACCTTGAACACTATGTATGAGGCTGGCAAGGTCTGGATTCGTCACTTGGAGGAGGCCAGTCCCAGTGTTACTTGGTTTACCTGGATCCACCAGTATCTGGTGGAAAACACCTTTTTTATTTTCTTGGTATCAGCTGTGCTTCTGTGAGTAGAAAGGGCTATAGGTGGGGAGGGAGTTGGGAAATGATCCTATCACCCTTCCCTTCTCTCTGAAACAATTCCACCCCCTCAGACTATGGTTCATAGGTTCTCCCCACTCCCATCTTCCTGATCCCAGACTGTCCTGTCTAGCCATCTTGTATATTGGAAGCAAAGAGTCAGTCATATAAATATGTGTAACTTGGGACCTGTTACTAGGTCACAGAATCAAAAAGGCTCTTTGGGGCCATCTAGTCCAACCTGTGCTTCGATAGAAATCCCCTCCAACATCCTGAGAAATGGCCATCTGGCGTCTGCCCGAAGACAAGTGATTGTGTGACTTCTCTTTCCCCCGTCTGGTTTTTGGTTTCCTTGTTTGTAAAATGAGTACGTTGGACTAAGTGGTCATAAAAGCCTGTCGAGTAGCCCATCTCCTCTTCCCATTACAAAGGATGGAAGGCAAGATATTCCATCTGTGTTCCTGGAAACAATACAAATGATCTATCCCCTTCTCCTCAAATAGGACCCTGCTCAGTAAAAAGAGTCATTGTCCTTATTTATGGGAATGATGCAGTGCCCTCATCATCATCATCATCATCATCATCATCATCATCATCGGTTCATTCAGCTAACCTTTATGTTAGGTCCTATTTATAATATTAATAACTAGCTTTTACATAGTGCTGTAATGGTTTACGAAGTGCTTTATTAATATCTCATTTGATCCTCATAACAACACTGGAAGGTAGGTCCTATTATGATCCTCATTTTATAGATGAGGAAACTGAGGCAAGTGGCAGTTAAATTATTTGCCTGAGGCCAGATTTGAACTCCAGTCTTCTTGCCTGCAGGTCCAATGTTCCATCCTCTGTGCTGCCCAAGATGCCTGTTTCCTTCACTTTCCTGGCCTATGTCCTTTAGGATTGGCTAGGATAAGGCATACAGACTGTGCGGGGTGTGGGAGGGAAACTCACTAGCCCCCAGGAGATAACTTGTTATCCCAGCCTTCTTCGCATCACAGTCTAAGCTAACGACCCTGAGGTGTAGTAAATACCTGTTTATCACTGAGTGCAAGGGCCACTAGAATTATCTTCACGTGCAAAGAACAGCATGTGTTTATGAACTTTTGTGGTTTTTTTAGAGCTGTGATCTACTTCAATATCCAGGTGGTGAAGGGACAGCGGAAAGTTATATGCCTCCTCAAGGAGCAGATTAGTAATGTAAGAGTGTGTGTATGATGTGTGTGTGATGTGTGTGTGTGTGTATGTATGTGTATGTGTGTGTATGTGAGGTGTGTGCATGCATGTACATATGGTTTGTGTACACAAATATATATGTGATGTATATGTAGTATTTGTATGTGGTGCATGCACATATGTGTATTGCTATGTATGCCCACAAGGTGCACACACATGTGTATGTACACACATGTACACAGCATATATACACATATGCGCACACATATCTGCATACATACAACATGTACTTGTATGTGGTTTGCATGTATGTAGGTACACATGGTGCTGCATACCTATGTATATGTGGTATGTGTGCAATATATGTATCTGTATGTGCAGTGTATGTATGTGATGTATGTACACATGTGTATGCAGCACAAACACATGTGGTTTGTGTGTACCCATATATGTGTGTGATGCATGCATATGTGTGGCGTGTGCACACTTGGTATGTATGTATTTGCATGTGCTATTTGTGTGTGCATCTATGTATATGTGGCGGGGGAGGGGGCAAACCACAATCTTGTCCCCTCTGCTCATCTGTGCCATGTCCCTTTCTCTCTACCTCTTCTCATGTCCTGTGTGCCTCTGCTATTCCAGGAGGGAGAAGACAAAATCTTCCTTATCAACAAGCTTCACTCCCTTTATGAGAAGAGGGCAACCACCAGCTAAGGGTCTGAAGCTAAGAGACTGCAGGTAAGGTGAGAGGCCAGAGTGGAAGGAAGGGGAACTCAGGGCTGTGGCAGGGGTAGCAGACATAAGAAGGGAAGGGAGACAAGCTGGGTCTAGCCTAGGCAAAAGACTGGCATTTTCTTGAGGACTCAAATAAATATTTTGCCAAGAGTGTGGTGCTAGTGATGTCTTCTGATAATTCTCTATTGCGCAGAGTACTTTTGCACACAGCCTCTCACTGGCGGCAGGTATTAGTATCCTCATTTCACAGATGAAGCATCTTGAGCCTCAGAGAGGCTGAGTGATTTGCCTGGGGTTGCACAGTCAAGGATCGAACTCGTCTCTTCTGATTGTCGGTCTGGTCCTCTTTATCCTGCCCCGCACCCCTGACTACCTTGCTAGTTACCCTCCTGGCAACAATGCCAAAGAAGATCTTTAGTCTGTGTACGGCCCCATCCCCGAGTTAAGGATGATGTGGTGATGTAAGGTATTATAGTGAAAAGAGTGCTTGATTTGGAATCAAGAAGACTTGAGTTCAAATTCTGATTCAGATGCTTATTAGCTCTGCTACTCTGGGCAAAATTACTTAATCTTTCTCATCTGTAAAATGGGGATAATAGCACCCACCTCACAGGGTTGTTGTGAGGATGAAATAAGATAACATATGTAAAATTTTTTTTAGACCTTAAAGTGTTATGTAAATGCTAGGAGTAGCAGTAATTGTTGTTGTTGTTATCTCATTGGTCAAGGGGACTCTGTTTCAGTTCCTTACTTCCCTTGACTAGGAAATGTTATAATCCTGAGCAAATTATTTACCATCTCTGAGCCTCAGTTTCCTCATCTGTAAAATGTGAGTGTTGGACTTGAGGACCTCTAAGGTCTCTTCCAGCTAGCTCTGACATTCTATAGTTTTACAGTTGCCACTGGTCTAGACTCACTGAATATGAGTGGGGTGTGTGTGTGTGTACTGGGATTGAAGAGGTTGGAGGGGAAGGTTTTATATATGCATGTACATCTTTTTCTAGCTATTATGCTATATATAGTATTTTGTTGTTTAGTCATTTCAGTCATGTCTGACTCTTCATGACCCCGTTTTGGGTTTTCTTGGCAGAGATCCTGGAGTGCTTTGCCATTTCCCTTTCCAGCTCATTTTACAGATGAGGAAACTGAGGCAAACAGGCTTGCCCAAGGTCACATAGCTAATAAGTGTCTAAGGCCAGGTTTGAATTCAGGTCTTCTTGATTCCAGGCTAGGCACTCTATCTCACTGTGACCCCTAGCTGCCCATAAAATTAGGAAAAAGAATGAATTGAAATTCTGTTGGTACTTCTGTTAGAAAGGCTGGTCATTTCTTAGTTTAGGCAAACCCCTCTGTGTTGATTTGTCTGTACAAAAATGACTGAGCCTGAGTCTTTTATATAGAATGCAAGAAGTAAAATTAAAAATTACTTTTACTTATATCAGTCTGTGCACACATCATCTTATTTAAAATATATTGTAAAAAAAAAGTGGGAATGAAATTGGACTCTAATTCTTGAATCGACTAATTTTCTTCTTAGCTGCCCATTAGTGACGTACAGTCTTTATGTGCATGTTTTCCTCACTTTTTCCCCGTCTCCTACAAGCAGATCACTCGGTTAGGTGATAGGATGGTCTCACTTAAGCTTTAATTACTTTGATACTTTGATTCCCAAGCCTCAGGGTTTACTTGTCTGCACTTAAGGCTGCAGGTGCTGTAGTAGAAAGACTGCTGAACTTTGAATCGGGAGAGACTCAGGGTTGAACCTAGGGCTATGCCAGTAAATGTTTAATTACAGGCTTGCTGAAAATTGGTAACATACTTTTAAGTTTAATTTGCATTTTTAACATTCTTTCCCATCATTTTCTTGAGCCCAGAAACCAACAAAACAATAAATCAAGCCTTGATTTGTAATATTTACTGATCTCTGAGGTATAAATGCTCACACCGAAAATTTAACAATCTGTTGGGGTTCAGGATTGCTTCAGCACATGCTTGGTTGAACCCTGCCTCTGACACTTTCTAGCTGTGTAACCATGGGCAAATCCTGGCTCCTTACAGTTTCCTCACCTGTAAAATGGGGATAATAGCATTGGTAGCACCTATCTCATGGAGTTGTGAGATTATATATATATATATATATATATATATATATATATATATATATATATTATATATATAAAAATGCTTTGTGAACCTTTAAAGTGGCATATAAATGTCAGTGTGTGCTTTTTGTTTTTTTTTGCTTTGTTGATGCCCTTAGATTTAGTCCCCAAAGGACTGAAATTTTAGCTGGACTGTTGCTGTGATGTCCTGATTAATCTCCCTTGCCTCAAGTCTCTTTCCATGACAATCCATCCCTCACATCGACAAAAATAATTTTCCACATGTACAGATCTGACCATGTTGCTTGCCTTTTTGATAAATTCTAATTGACTACACTTACCTTTAGGGTAAAATATAAATTTCCCTCTTTGGTTTTTAAAACTCTTCGCCACATGGCCCTAGATTATCTTTCAAGCCTCACTAGACATTACTCCCCTTCCCTCATTATAGATTTCAGCCACGCTGGCCTCCTCATCTGTTGCTCACACACAGCATCCCATCTCCTATCTCAGGGCTTTTGCCTTGGCTCTCCACCCACCCCCTTCCCCATCATCTTTGCCTTTAGAATCCCGTTTTTTCTTTAAGACTCAGTTCAAGCATCACCTTCCACATGAAGCCTTTTCTATTCTCCCCTGTCCTACTCCAACCCTTTGCCCATGCCATCTCTCCCAAACCACATGAAATTTATTTTGTCTTTCTGTAAACCCCTTAAGAGTAAGAACTACTTCTTTTTTTTGTCTTTGTATCACCAGTGACTTACACAGATCCTGGAACATAATAAGCACTTAATGAATTCTTGTTGATTGAATGAATGTACCAATATACTCTCAAGAAGAAATCAGGAGCCAGAGTGGGGAAGGATGATGGGTGAGCATCCAGGTGAAGCTGAATAAATGTAGCAAGAGAAGTGATATTGTCATGGGAACATCCTATAGAACGCCTAGATATAAGAGGAAATGGACAAGGAGTTTGAAACCACTACACAATTGGCAAGGCATCATGTCCTAGTACTGATGGACACTTCAGTTATGAGGGTATCTGCAGGAACACTCTCAAAAAAATGGATTCCTCTAATAGTCTCATTCTTCAGAAGCTGGAGGAAGTGGTGAGAGGGGGTGCTATTCTCAACCCTATTCTGACCAGTAAGGGTCTCCCTTCTACTGGTTCTACTGGTAGCTGAGGCACAAATGACGGGAACCTTGGAGATTGTTGACTCACCCCTTGAGAGTTTGTCACAGAGAAGAGGAAAGCCAGGCGAAGGATGATATGCTCTTAGAACATCAGATTCCAAAGGCTTTTGAGAAGGGATAGATAGGATTTCTGGCCTAAAATTCTATAGGGGGTGGGAACATTTCCAGACTAAAATTCTGAACACACAAGAAATAATTCCAGTGAGGAATCAAAGCAGGATCTGTCTAAGGCCAATTAAGAAACACAGAGAAGTCATTAATTTAGATTTTGAGAAGACATATATGGAAGATGCAAGGGCAGCTAACAGGAATGACACAATCCTGTATGAATAGTGTCTCAAGATATAAATGAACTGAACTTGGCAACACATGCTAAGAACAACAAAGGTAAAAAAGAGAAGACTCAAAGAAGGGGTAAACTTGATCCTTAGGGTAGATGGGATAATGAAAAGAAAGAAGGAATACTGAAATCACATCTTGTATCATTTTTTTTCTGCTGAGACGAGAGTCTTTGTACTGGAAAGAATAGAATGAAAAATGGAAAATAATTGAAACTCAGATGAAAGCTAAGTAGAGAGTCAGCCAGTAAATGAGCACTGGGTAGTCTTCAATGAATTTAGATCACACTTAAACTACCATGGTACTAAAAATCTTGACAAATGTGATTGATGAGCTGCTCCCACTGATCTCCAAAAGATCAATGGAAAATGATTGATATGTTACGGGACTAGACAAATATCTTGTGAGTCTGCAAACCATAGGTCAATGAGCTTGACTTTGATTTCTGGCAAACTTCCAGAATATATTGTTAAAGGGATGGTTTGTGAACATTTAGAAAGGGAAGCAATGATTATTGGGGATCAGCATGACTTTTTCAAGAATGGTTCATGCCAGACTAACCTCATTTGGCTTTTTTTTTTTTTGGTCAGGGTTATATTTGTAGATCAGGGGGATATTAAAGACATAGTTTATCTAGATTTCAGCAAGGCATTTGACAAAGTTTTTTGTATTATATTCACGGACAAGAAGTTCAGATGAAGGCTAGACAGTAGTGAAGTTAGGTGCACTAATTGAATGGCTGGACATTATAGTTTGATGTTGACTTGGAAACTCTTCAGGTGTGCAATGAAAGTATCTTTAGTCTCTCCAGAACAAGAGGAAACATACCTTCACCCTCATTGGACTGGATTAGCTTGCATGTCTGGAGAGATTCAGTTACAGAGTCAATCTGGTTCACTTTGACCAGGAGGCAGTTTTAGGTTTTTTCATTCACAGCCTTTTCAATGTGCTTGGGACTGGTTACTGTGAGATCATCCCCTACCAGCTGGGTGCCTGCAGTAGCAGCAAAGGACTTCCAAACTTCACAGGCATCCTGGTCAAAGGGATCTTCAATAGACACCGTTAGATAGTCCTTGATAAAAGTCTTAGACAGATCCCCAAGTGCATTGGGGATGACATATCTGCTGGGGTTATCAGGAGACTTGAAGTCCAAGATATATTTCCCAGATCAAAGAATTCCAAGGCAGCAGCATCCATGCCAATAACAACTTTGTAAGTATAGCCAGCCTTACCAGTAGCATTCCCTAGCAGCTCTAGAGATTCTTTATTCTCTGGGATATTAAGAACGAAGCTGACCTCATCTCCCACGTTGGTAGCATCTTGCCCATATTTCTGTTTAATAACATTCTTCAAGTTGTGGTGGACCTCAGCCCCAATGCTCATGGCCTTCTTGAAGGGAGCTCCAACATGGAGGATCATGAACTCCTGCATTGCCAGCTTGTTACCAACATGGAAGCCACCAATTTGTAGCTCAATCAGCATTACATTATTGTGTCTATTCTCCCAGAGCCCCTTTAACAATTGTCATTTTCCTTTTTGGTCATCTTTGCCCAACTCAATCCTATTCTCGTGTGTTGGATTGTTGTTCAGTCATTTCCGTCTCTTTGTGATCTCATTTGGGGTGTTCTTGGCAAGGATATTAGCGTAGTTTACTATTTCCTTCCTCAGTTCATTTGACAGATGAGGAAACTGAGGCGAACAGGGTTAAATGATTTTCCCAAGGTCACACAGTTAGTAAGTATTTGAGGCCAGATTTGAACCCAAGAATGTGAGTCTTCCTGACTCCAGGCCTGGCTCTCTATCTACTGTGCCACCTAGCTCCCCCTGTTTCTCACGAGAGAGGCTTATATCCAACAAAAACATATCTATCCTCCTTTGTTTTTTCCTTCTGCTGTGCAAGCTTCCAGTCTCCCCCTTTTTGAGTCCAGACAGTTAAAATCTAACTGCTACCTGGAAACTCACAGCAGCAGCTGTGCAAGTGTTATTGAGAAATTTCCTGTCCCTACCTCTTCCCAGCTTTGGCAAGTCCCCTCTGAAGCAGGCACTCCTGGGCAGCGATGGATAAGTAGGAGCCAGACTCACTCTTTTTTTCTCTTTTGGGTAGGGCAGAGTGAGTAGTACAGTAGTACAGCATCAGTAGGGCATGGATGGTCTGTGATCTCCATCATGGGTTCCATAGTAGTAATCTATAGGGCGTCCCAAAAGTCTTAGTACAGTTTTAAGCTGCAAAGCACATATGATTTATAAATAAATATATGTTTTGAGGGTGTGTGTTAAAATACTGCTGTGGGTACTTGGTCAAAAAAGTGTGGAGTTCACACTTTAGGCTAACCTCATTTTGCAAGTGCACAGTGGGCATGGCACCAATCCCCAACTCTTTTCTTTGTTTGCCCCGGGACTGGTTCTCTCACCGTCACCTGTATCTACATTGGCAGGTCGGGGTGGTTTTCTGAAGGTTTGGCCATGTGGCCACAACTCACTCTCAGGGTCTTAGGGCTAACTCTGGTGTGGGAAAGTTAATATGTTTACTCTGTGCAACTTCAGCTCCTGAGGCCACACCAGTGTGCTTAATGTTTAAGAGAATTGACACTTTTTTTTTCTCACATCAACTCTTTCTTGTTTAAAATAAAATTTTATTTTTTTGTTTTTTAAATTTATAAAAATTTCCCCTGTATGTCTCTGCTTCTCCTTCCCTTAGAACTTTATAAGAAGCTTTATGAGTATTTTTTACAGAAAGAGAAGAGAAAAAATTAACAAAACTGATGAATATATTGAAAAAAGTCTGAAAATTATATGCACTATCCCACACTCATGGATCTCCCATGTATGCAAAAGAGTTGGGGAGGTATATTCTTATCTCTTCTTTGGGACCAAACTTGCTCTTTGTAATTTTGCAACATTTATTTGTTATTGTAGTCACTGTGTATATTGTATTCTTGGCTCTGTTTCACTTTACATCATTCCATGTAAGTCTTTCCATGCTTCTTTCTTACAACACAGTAATAATTCTATTACATCAGTGATTTCTTTATGTTTTGTTTAGTCATTCCCCAGTTGATGGGCAGCAACAGTTTACAATTCCTCTCGACCACAGAAAGTGTTGGTATAAATATCTTGGTCTGTCTGGGGACTTTACTTTTTGTCAGTGACTTCCTTGGGGTATATACCTAGTAGTGGAATCACTGAGTCACAGGGGATGGACATCTTAGCTCACCAAAACTCTTAATCATGAACAAGTTAAAGCAAGAATAATGGCTCAACCCATAAACTTGTGCCACCTTCTGTCACACATGCATAAGTTGGGGAGAGTGGGCACAAACTTATAGAAACTTAGCATAGAGGCAGCTGAGTAGGAAAACCCATGTGCCAGGAACAACTCACAACTCTGGACTTCATGTCTTTATGTCCCTAATATCTTTAGGTCCAGACTATTATTACTTCATCTGCTAGGTCAAGCTGTGCCTCTTCTAGGCTTCTGTGCTCTACTTCTGGGTGAAACCACTTTTCTACTGGCTACTGCTCTTGGGCTATTAAAGCAGTGTTAAGCCCTTTTACTGAAAGAGAGTTTTGGATTGAGTCCCTTGACTGGTCTCTGAGTCAGCATCAGCTCTCTCAGCAAAGCAGTTCTCCTAACCCTGGAATTCCCAGAACTTTCAGGTCAGCTCACTGGTCTCTGAGGGTCCTCTCAAGCCAGAGGTAAAGAAGCAAGGCAGACAAATCTCTGAAGAATTGCCACTGTTCTAACTTTAGGTGGCAGTGAAATGCATCTTAGCTTCTCCTTTCCCCAGCCAGCTTTCCAAGCAGCAGAGCTCTCCTCCATCAGATCAGCTCCCAGTAGCAGCTGCAAAGCTTGTTTTCCTCCATTCAGCTGTTCTCAGCATGAAGCAGTTGCTCTATATGTCTTCTTTCTTCCCTTGGCTTTAAGCCACTCCATTTCTGCTGCTTCTCCATCTTGGTGCTGGTTGCTTATCACCTCATGCCTGGACTATTGCACAAGCCTTTTACTTAATCTCCCTGCCTCTACTCTTCAATCCATTCTCCACTCAGTTGCCAGAGTGATTTTCCTAAAGCTTAGGTCTGATCATGTCCCACCTCCTCTTCCCCATGCCCCCCTCCCCATTCAATAAACAGTAGGTCCCTACTACCTTCAGAATCAAATATAAAGCCATTTGTTTGGTTTTTAAAACCCTTCACAATCTGGCTCCTTCTGTCTTCTAGTCTTTACTCTCCTCTTCATACTCCATGATCCAGCAACATTGGCCTCATTATGGTTCCTCAAACTTAGTGCTCCATCTCCTGACTCCATGTCTTTGCAGTGGTTGTCCCCCATGCCTTGCTGGAATGCTCTCCCTGCTTCTGCCATCTATCTTCCCTAGCTTCCTTCAAGTTCCCGCCAAAATTTCATCTTATACAAGAAGGTTTTCCCTATCCCCCTTAATGCTAGCACTTTCCTTCTGTGATTATCTCAAGTTTATTCTGTATGTATCTTCTTTTTACATAGTTGCTTGTATGTTATCTCCCCCATTAAAATATGTGCTCTTTGAAAGCAGGATCTGATTTTGCCTTTCTTTAATATTCTCAGTGCTTAACACAATGCCTGTTATATTGTAAGTACTTAATAAATACCTGTAGACTTAACCCATCTTTGCTTTTGCTTTGACCTCCAGGTCCCCGAGGCCCTAAAGTTCTCTTCCACTTTACTTGAAGTATACTCATGGCTGAAGAATATTGATTGGGCCAGAGACCAACCATTGAAGCTAGAAATTAATTCAGCAATGACTTCCACCTCTTCCCCCCATTCTCTTTCTTCCAGTTTACTGGGGATTGGCCTGACATAGTATTTATTTGAAATAAATAGTATTTTTATTTTGTTTTTTGAAATGATTTGTTTTTCATCCTCTATGGATTGGGCACAAACATTCCCCATATTCTCTCTCTTGGTACATATACCCCAGATCAGTGGTGTGAGAAAGGCCATTCCATCTGAAAAGCTTTGTTTAATTCCAGAAATATCAATTTACCCACTGTGGGCCAAGTACTGTACTAACATTGTTGTTGTTCAGTTGTTTCAGTCATGTCCAACTCTTCATGACCCTTGGCAAAGAAGAGTGGTTTTGCCATTTCCTTCTCCAGCTCATTTGACAGATGAAGAAACTGAGGCTTAACAGGGTTGAGTGGCTTGCCCAGGGTTACACAGCCAGTGTCTGAGGTTCAGATTTGAACTCAAGAAGATGAGCCTTCCTGATTCGAGGCCTGGCACTCTATGCACTGCACCATGGTGCTAGGTACTGGCAATAAATAGATAAAAGTGAAACAGTTCTTACCTTTGAGTTGCTTATATTCTATTAGGGGCAAACAACATACAGATAAGCATTTGCAGAATAAACAGAAAATCATTTGAGAGCAACAAAGGTGGGGAGAACACTAACAACCCAGAGAATCAAAAAAAGCTTTTTGTAGGACGTGGCCTTTGAACCGAGCCTTTAAAGCAGTTAGGGATTCCAAGAGGTGGTAGTAAGGAGGGAGAACATTCTAGGTATGATCTAAGCCCCAAGGACCTGATTGGCCTCAGCTTCCCTGACACAGTTTCCTGGTCACATGGAGGAATAGAAAGTCCCTGCCACATGGCATGCCTCTCAGACTTCATGAGGCCCTAAGATCATGGGAGTTGTCTCATACCTTGATGATTTACTGACTGCATTGGTTTCCATACAGGGTCCACAGATCCACAGAAACCAAGTGCCACTGTATCCTTGTTGTATATTCTTAATAGTATTAGAGCAGAGTAAACTTAAATGTTCAATGGCTTATAAGTGTTTATCCCAACATTGAACCTGAATGAAGAGGATGCTGGTAATGGAGCAGCGCTTCCAACGCCAGGCAAGATGGACAACCAAGGCAAAGGTTTTGAGATCGGAGGTGGAAGGTAGAGGGAGCACCAGCAAGCAGACCAGTTTAGCTGTAACTTGAGTGTGTAATGGGGAATAATGCGAAATTATTTGAGAAAAGTAGGTTGCACCAGATTTTAAAGGGCTTTAGATACCGAATCACAGAGTTTGTGTTTTATCTTTGAAGCAGTAGGAAGCCACTAATGCTTTCTTTTTTTAAGGCTCCTAGGGTTAAGTGACTTGCCCAGGGTCACACAACTAGTAAGAGTCTGAGGTCAGATTTGAATTCAGATCCTCCTGATTCCAATGCCAGTGCTCTATCCACTGTACTGACTAGCTGTCCCCTAATACTTCTTGAGCTAGAGAAGGACAACATCAGACCTGTCCTTTAAGAATATAGCTAGGTGGCTCAGTGGATAGAGCACCAGCCCTGAAGTCAGGAGGAACTGAGTTCAAATCTGGCCTCAGACCAAACACTTGACACTTACTAGCTGTGTGACCCTTGGCATGTCACTTAACCCCAATTGCCTAAAAGCAAAAAAAAAAAAAAAAGAAAGAAAGAAAAAAATGAAAAATGAAGAATATCAGTTTGGTGCAAAATGGATGATTTTGATTACATTAAATTGAAAAGTTTTTGCACAAACAAAGCCAATGCAACCAAGATTAGAAGGGAAGCAGAAAGCTGGGAAACAATTTTTACAGACAGCGTCGCTGATAAAAGCCTCGTCATTTCCAAAATATAAAGAACTGAGTCAAATTTATGAGAATACAAGTCATTCCCCAATTCATAAATAGAGGATATGAATAGGAAGTTTTCAGAAGAAGGAATTAAAGCTATCTATAGTCATATGAAAAAATGCTCTAAATCACTATTGATTACAGAAATGCAAATCAAAACAAGTACCACATCACACCTATCAGATTGGCTAACATGATAAAACAGGAAAATGATAAGTGTTGGAGAAGATGTGGCAAAATTGGAACACTAATGCGTTGTTGATGGAGTTGTGAACTGATCCAATCATTCTGGAGAGCAATTTGTAACCATGCCCAAAGGGCTATAAAACTCTGCATGCCCTTTGACCCAGCAATACCAATTCTAGGTCTGTACCTCAAAGGAATCATACAAATGGAAAAAGGACCCACATGTACAGAAATATTTATAGCAGCTATTTTTGTGGTGGCCAAGAATGGGAAATTGAGAGGATGTCCATCAATTGGGAAATGGCTGAACAAGTTGTGGCATATGGGCTATTGGGCTATAAGAAATGATGAGTAGGCAGACTTCAGAAAAACCTGGAAAGACTTATACAAACTGATGCTGGGTGAAATGAGCAGAACCAGGAGAACATTACACACAATTAACAGCCACATTGTGTGATGACTGACTTTGATAGACTTAGCTCTTTTCAGTAATGCAAGGATCTAAGACAACTCCCAAAGACTCACTGTGGAAAATGCTATCCACACCCAAAGAAAGAATTTGGGAGTCTGAATGCAGACAGAAGCATATTATTTGCTCTCCTTTTCTTTTGTTGTTTTGTTTCTTCTTTCTTGTGGTACCTCCCATTATTTCTAATTCTTTACATCATGACAAATGTGAAAATATGTTTCATATGAATGTATAAGTAGAGCCTATATCAGATTGCATGCTGTCTTGGGGAGGGGGAGGACAGGGAAGGGGAGAAAATTTAAAACTCAAAATCTTACGGAAGTGAATGTTGAAAACTAAAAATAATTAATTATAAAAACAAACAAAAAAGAATAACAATTTGGCACCTATGTAAAGAATGGGTTGGAGAAAGAAAAGACAGGATAGGCTAGAGAGATGATGGGTGCCTGAACCAGGTCTCCCTCTCTTCACCATCCCCTTTGGACTTGTCCATGGTACTACCCTGGGCTCTGGGTGTCCAGCTTTTCTTTTCAACTCACTGGATCCAGGCCTCCATTTCACTTACCGGCCACCTCCACAGGATGTCTTCTACACTCTGGCCTGCACCTTCTCCTTCTTATCCTCTTCCACACACCTTGGACTTTCTCCCTGGAACTAGCTTAGACTCTGAATGGCTAGCTTTCCTTTTATCATACCTGAATCTAGTCTCCCATTTACTCCCTACCCACTTTGCAGATCCCCTTTTTATGTGCTGTCTTCTCCCATTAGAAAATAAGTTCCTTGAAGGTAGGGACTGCCTCACTAGTTATCTTAACTATTCCCTAGTTCTTCCTTAACAAAAAAGAAAAAAATGAGGAAGAAGGGAGATGTCTGAAGAAGACTGCCAGGAATTAGATGTTTGGGAAATTCGACAGTTTGGGAAATTCGACAGTTTGGGAAATTCTTTTACGAGATGAGCAATACCAAATTGCTTTGCATTTGAAAGAATGGAAACATTAATAATCTAGTTAAACATATATTTCACAGCTTTCCAAGGCAGTCACATTTCACCTTTTTGAAATATGTTTAAAGAAAAAATCTGTTAGAGTAACTTAATAGTCAGTTATAGCATTTAGGAGATAAGTGCTTCTGCAAGAAAAAAGACTCTAGTGTTTTGGACTAAATCAATTAAGATGGAATTTAATAGGGACAAATATAGCTGAGGTTTTATGTTTGGCTTAAAAAAATCCCAACTTTACAAACACAAATGATGAGTTAGCAGAATTCATATGAAAAAAAATTTTTAAGTGGACTGCAAAAGCCGCTCAAAGTAGAATATTCTCAACATGAGCACAATGTGGCAGTCAAGAAAGTTAGTGTGACATTAGGCTACTGTGAGAAAGGGACAACATCAAAGTATTAAGGAAACAATAGTCCCGCTGTACTCTGCTCTAACAGGTTACATTAAGTACTGTGCTTAAGACTAGGCATCACATTTTATGAAAGGTAATGATAAATTCAAGAGCTCAGAGGAGGACAACACAGATGGTAAATCAGGGCCTGGAGTTCACATCATATGAGGGTTGGATGAAGGAACTGGGGGTGTTTAGCCTATAGCAGAGGGGGGTGCTACAATAGCTACCTTCAAGTATCCAACAAGCTGCTCTGTGGAAAAGGTTAGGTTTGTTTGATTTATTCCAAATGTCACAAAGTAACAAATTTAGACCTATGTTTGACAGATATAAACACTTCTTTAGAATTAGTAATATTTCAAAAAAAGAATAGATTGCCTCAAGGGCAGTGGGTTTTCCTTCCCTGGAAGACTTATTTTCAGCAAAGGTCAGATGACCACTTGTTTGGTACATTTTAAAGGGGACTCCTTTTCATATATGAACCAATGACTACTACATGGTCAGAATTCCCTTCTTACTCTGAAAATCTGATTGTGATTTTGTTAGACTATACCTACAGTACTATATTCAATTTTTGGTATACTATATTAGAGGACAGTCAAGGGCCTTGAGTACATTCCATTTAGGAACTGGTTCAAAGAACTGAGAATGCTTAGAGAACTCTTCAAACATGTGAAGGGCTGTCAAGCTGAGTAGGGATTAGACTTTTTTTGCTTGGCCTTACATGGGAAGAACTAGAGCTGAATGGTAGAAGTTGCAGAGAAAGATTTAGGCTCAATTTAAAGAAAAACTTTAAGAATTAAGAGTTGTCCCCAAACAGAACTGGCTGGCTTGGCCTGGTGCTGAGTTTCTCCTCCTTGGAGGTTTGGGATTATTGTAGAGTGAATTCTTGTTCAGGCATCGGTTGGAGTAGATAGCTTTTGAAGTCCATTCTCTGATTTTGTTAAGCACCACACATTGGAGTTGACCTCAGTAGCTTGCAATTAAGGATGAAGCATGTACAGAAATAACTATAAGGCAGAATGCACTAAGTTCAATGTGTTAGGAGAAATCTGAGGGTGGAGAGTATATTTTAAGCTGGAGTAATTAAGGAAGGCTTTATGGAGATGTCACTTGAATTGGGCCTAGATGGAACAGGTGGTAAATCTTCTAGGCATTAGGGACAGCATGAACAAAGACAGTGAGACAGAGAGGGACTGCATGAGATCA